TCTATTACTTACAGCCTGCGCTGGTTGTAATGGATTAGTATGATCATCCACCTCCCCCCTATCCACCACTTGGGGACGCGCCCGGTAGGAGACTAACAACTCCTTCTGGTTTCATGTTCGGCTCGCCCGAACTTGATGACTTGTTTCTATAAAAATATTTTTTTTTTGTATTTATTTATTTTTTGCCTTCCAGTTAATACCCCCAATGAAAAAAGATATCGATACTATCCCGTACATGGTAATCTATTCCTGTTCAACGTCAAGTGTGCAAATGATTGTCATGTGACTTTGTCAAGTAACAATGAAGAACGTGATCCCATGTATGAGATTGTGTTTGGCGGTTGGGACAATACCAAGTCCATAATACGTAAAAATGGTAAAATGCCCGATCTGGTGGAGGTACAAACACCCAAAATTTGCAGTGAACATGAATGGCGTACATTTTGGATATGTTGGCACGACAATGTGTTGCAGGCGGGACGTGGTGGTGAGGATGTGCCATTAATTGCCTATAAGGATCCAAATTTATTTGTTGTCAAATATTTGGGTATTTGTACGGCATATGGTTCCAGTGGTTCATGGATATTTAATAGTAAGTAGAGAATTGAAAAATTAGCTGGCTCGAGAGTGTCATTGGAGTTGTCATTTTATCCACAGCACCCCTAGATGATGTTTTGATTTCAAAAAGGGTTTTGAAGGGTAAGTTTTTTGTGGAGATGTGTTTTCCTCTAGATAATAATTAAAAAATATATATTTTATTTAAAAATTCAGTTAGAACTCCAAAAGAGAAGGATTACAAATTCTATCCGGTGCAGGGGAATGCCTTCCTATTTAAAATCAAATGCGCGCACGATTGTCACATAGCTTTGTCAGCCCAACCCTTAGTCGGTGTACCTATGTATGAAATTGTCATTGGAACAATGAGTAATACAAAATCGGTTATAAGAAAAGCTGATATAGTACCACCAGATGTATTTGAGTCATCGACACCGGACATTGTAAATGCTCAGGAATTGCGAGGATTCTGGATACGTTGGAATGATACAACCATTGCGGTCGGTCGGGATGGTGAAAATATTTCATTTATGTTCCATAAGGGGGCGAAATTATTTCCCATCAAATATGTGGGCATATCGACGGGTTTTGGTGCCACTGGGTATTGGGAATTTGAAGGTGAGTTAATTCTACACTTCTTCTTCTTCCATAAAAACAATTTAAAAAAAAATCCAGGTCCAAAGCAACGCCTAATAGTAGACGATAAAAAATATTTTTAAAAAATCAACGCCTAATAGTATACCTTGAAAGATAATTTTAATAAATCCACGCCTAATAGTATACCTTGACAAAAATTCTTCTTCTTAATAGAGGACCTAGAAAAAATAATTTTGAAATAATCCACAACCTATAGTCGACCTTAAAAATCCACGATTAATAGTAGTCCTTGAAAAAAATTTAAATAAAATCCTAACAATAGACCTTGGAAAATATTTAAAAAAAAACCGCGCATAATGGTAGACCTTGACAAAAAAAAATTTATAAAAAATCCATTCCTATAAGTAGACCTTGAAAAAACCGCACGATATACATTAAAGTAATTTTTAAAACGTTTTTGAAAAAAATAATTTTTAAAACTTAATAGCAGCCTTTAAAAAATATTTTCAAAAATGCATGCCTAATAGTAGACCTTAAAAAGTAATTTAAAAAATCTACGCTTATTAGTTGATCTTGAAACATATATTTTTTAATCCTAGTCTAACAATAGACCGTGAAAAATAATTTAAAAAAAAAAAATCCACGCATAATAGTAGACCATTAAAAATAATTTTGAAAAAATCCAGCCTAAATGTAGACCTTGAAACAAATATTTAAAGATTCCACGACTAATAATAGAGTCTGAAAAATAATATAAAAAATCCACTCCTAATAGTATACCATGAAATATTTGTTTTGAATATCCAGGCCTTATTGTATAACTTGAAAATAATTGTTAAAAATTCCTGTCTAATACCTTGAAAAATAATTTAAAAAAATTAAAAAATATTTTATAAAAAATCCATGCCTAATAATAGACCTTGAAATAATTTTTTAAAAAATTATTGCCCAATAGTAGACTTTGAAAAATATATTTAGGTATACACCTATATTAGGACTTGAAAAATAATAAGTCTTTGCCTACCGATATTTATACTTTTTTATTTACAGATAATACTGCTGAACGATGCTCAATGCGATAATGACGTGGGAAAAGGCAGACATGATACATTTAAATATATCGAATGTAACCTAATCATTATTAAATATTAAATATATAAAATGTCTTTATAAAAATAATCGCTAAAAAATAATTTCAGAATTTTTTTATACCCTACGCTACATAGTGATATAGGGGTTTTGTGCATATTTGTGTAATAGATGCCTTAAACAACTCTGAACGGATAGGACTGTTGAATGCGGCTTTATAGTCGACGAATAGGTGGTATGTGTCGATATGTTTTTCGTGGGTCTTTCCCAGGATTTGGGGCAGAGTGAAAATCTGGTCAATGGTGGATTTGCCAGGTCTGAAGCCACATTGGTATGGTCAAATAATGTTCACATCGCACACTGGATAGCACTTTATATGCGATGGGAAGAAGGCTAATTCCACTATAGTTGTCTCCTTTTTTGTGCACGGGACACAGGATGCTGAGGTTCTAATAATTGGGCATGCATTCTTCTAGCCAAATTGTACTAATCAGCTGATGCATGCTCCTGACCAGCATCTGACAACCAGTCTTTAATAGTTCGGCTGGTAACACACCGGCTACTGCTACTTTATTGGTCTTGAGCCGATTAATTGCTTTTATGACCTCATCTTGGCTAGGTGGTATACACTCTATACCATCATCTCTTATTGTTTCTGGGGTATCTTCTTCACCGCCACTAGTTGATACCAGAAGCTTTTCAAAATGCTCCTTCCAGATCCTCAGCACGCTGTCTGTATCTGTAACCAGGTTTCCTTCTTCATCTCTACAGGAGGATGTGCCTGCACCAAAACCTTCGGTTTGGAGTTTTACTCGTTGGTAAAATTTACGGACTTCATTCTGTACATCTCGATTTGCTCACGCTCACGTTTTTCTTGTTCGTTCTTCTTTTTTCTGAAAACACGTTTATCCACACTCCTTTTCTCCCGATAATTCTACATCATGTTACGTGTTGCTACTGTCTGCAGGCTTGCCCTATACGCTGCATTTTTCAGATCTACTGATCTCTTGATCGTACCATGGGTTTCTTGGTGGTGGTTTTTGGTACCCAAGAGTTGCTTTTGCTACAGTATGTAGGGAGTGGCCAATTCGTTGCCATTGTGCTTCCATACTATTATCGGGACAAGAAGTGCATTCGTCAAGTAGGTGGGACGTCTAAAACACTGGATGAATGCCTTCCGTTTATCACAACATGATCAATTTGATTTCTCGTTACTTGATCAGGAGAGATCCAGGTGGCCTTGTGTATATCGAGATGCTTGAATCTGGTGCTGCTAACTATCATGTGTTTTGCTGCCACGAAGTCAGTCAACCTCATGCCGTTGTCGGATGTTTCTTCATGGAGGCTGAATTTTCCGACGGTGGGGCCAAAAATATTTTCCCTTCCGATTTTTGCATTAAAATCACCAAGCAGAATTTTAATGTCATGGCCAAGGCAGCAGTCATATGCTGTTTCTAGGCGCTCGTAAAATATGTCTTTGGTCTGCTCATCATTGTCTTCGGTCGGAGCATGGGCGCAAATGAGACTGATGTAGAAGAACTTCGCTTTTATACGGATTATAGCAATTCGCTCATCTACTGGAGTGAATCTGGAGACGAGGTCTTTTATTATCCTGTTAACCATAAATCCGCAGCCAAATTCATGTCTCGTTTGGCATGGCAGCTATAATACAGGGCGTAATCGTCTGATTTACTTACGCCTGTCCCTTTTGCATCACATTTCCTGTAAGGCAATAATATCGGCTTTGTACTTCTTGAGTACATTCGCCAAAGCGAATACTGCGCCTGTTCTGTACAAGGAGCGCACATTCCATGTGCAGATTCGCAGATCGTGGTTTATACGTTTGTGGGGGTCGTCAACCTTAGGAGGGTTTGGTTTTCTTTTTCTTTGCTTGTTCATAGTGTGTGCAACTAACCCGACGCCTCAGCCCTATTTTTTATAGTTTTTATGGGTGAACTCGCGGCACATATAAGCTCACTATTTCAGCGGGTGATGAAAATAGCTAGACCAGGTGACACCGCGGGGAGATCAGTGTCCACAATTGAGATGAAAGAGGGACCCAAATAAGCCTGAACTTCGCCATGTTAAAGCCAATCAGAGCCATTGCTTGGTATCTATCATCCCCTACGTCACCCAGGACAAGGGATATTCACATAAGGGATTTTATGTGAATGGTGCACAAAAAAAACCATAGTTTTTTTTCCGATTTGAACGAAATTTTGCACAGCGTGCCAGATAGAGTATGCATTAAGATTCGTTAAAATCGCTTCAAATGTCGATATAGCTCTCATTATAATTTCGTCCGATTTCCTGTAAATGGTGCACCAACTACCCAAAGTTTTTTTTCTGATTGGGACGACATTTTGCATTGCGTATCAAATTGGATATAGAAAGATGTATATTAAGTTTTGTTATAATCGGTTCAGAGGTAGATATATCTTCCTTATATATTTGCCCTACGATCGAGAGTTTAAGTTTATGTTAACAATAAAATGCAATAATTTCTTTTAGAAATTTTTAAATTGGTACGAATATTAGTCTTAGGAGCACAATTTGTGGTGTAGGATAGTCCGCCCCATCCGAGTTTGTGTTTTTGTTTTCCTTACAGTTTTTTATAGAAAAAATCCACATTCAAATCTCTAGATGACGTAGAGATCTATATGGGATTAAATTATTTTAAATATTTATTTCTATGATTTTTTATTTTTTCTCAAGCTATTAACAATAATTAAAAACAAAAACCTTTCCTCCTTTCACATTTAAGGCAAATAGTGACCATATTCCCAATTGTTAGTTGTTGCATCAGCATACGTTGGTAATGTTTTTGGGGTCTTGTACATGGATTTTGCAAAGGTTGTATAATCCTGTAAAGGAAAAAAACTGTTATAGGAGACCTGCCAAAGTTCTGTCTGAACCTACCTTATCCGCCTTCCTGCGACGTCCACCAATTTCATTGTAATCTGGTGGCTTATCATTGGAGGCATTTAAGCCATCATCGCTATTCAATGGTTGTTTTTCGGTAACCACAATCGGTGCGGTATAAGATTTCATGCCCAAGGTCATATTGATTGGTGGTGGTGGTTGATTTTGGATTCTCTCTTCGATTTCTTCCAATTGTTGCTAATGGTAACAATAATAATTATTAAACCAATAAATGAAAAATCGCATGAATCTTCAAAAAAGGTCTCTCCTCAATAAATCTAGATCTTAAAAAATAATTTTTAAACATCCACGCTTAATAGTAGACTTTGAGAAATAACTTTTACTAAACCCATGCTTAATAATAGACCTTGAAAATAATTTTTAAAAAATCCACACCTAATAGTATACTTTGAAAAAAATATATATTTTAAAAAGTACGCCTAAATTTTTTTTCAAAAATTCCACTCCCAAAAGTAGACTTTAAAACCAATAAGGAAAGTCGGACTGGGCCGACTATATGATACCCTTCACCACTTTGGGTATATTGTACATATGTATCCTAACAATTGCATGTCTATGTCCCCTCTTTCTCCAACCTATCCTAATTATAATTTTATTCGAGCAGATTTAGAGTCGTCTGCGTAACATGGGGAACACATTTATGGAAACGATTAATAGCAAAATTGATACACGCTATATGGTACGCCGCGTTGTTAAAAATATAATGTATATGTGGGAGCTATATCTAAATCTGAACCGATTTTCACAAAAATTAACACACATCTTTCTAGACTTAATTCAGTACTCTATGCCAAATTTTGTGCAAATCGAAGAATATAAAGGGACTTTGGTGCAAATTTTGTGCAAATCGAAGAACATAAAGGGACTTTGGTGCACTATTTACCTAAAATCGGACGAAAATATATATGAGAGCTATATCTAAATATCAACCGATTTTCACGAAATTTAAGACACATATTTCTAGACTTAATTCAGCACGGTATGCGAAATTTCGTGCAAATCAAAAGATAAATAGGGACTTTGGTACACCATTTACCTTAAATTGGACGAAAATATATATGGGAGCTATATCCAAATTTGAACCGATTTTCAGGAAACTTGACACATATCATTCTAGACCTAATTCTTTACGCTGTGCCAAATTTTGTGGAAATCGAATGATATATAGGGACTTTGGTACACCATTTACCTTAAATCGGACGAAAATATATATGGGAGTTATATCCAAATCTGAACCGATTTTCACGAAACTTGGCACACATCATTCTAGACCTAATTCATTACGCTGTACCAAATTTCGTGCAAATCGAAAGATATATAGAGACCGTTTGCATTAAATCGGACGAAAATATATATTGGAGCTATATCCTTGGGCCAAATAAGTGACCTATGCCAAATTTCATCCAATTCGGATTATAAATGCGACATGTACTTTGTTTACAATTTAACATCGACAGACGGACGGACGGACATGCATAAATCGACTTAGAAAGTGATTCTATGCATATTCTCAAAAGGAACCATGTGTCTATCTCGTTTCCATTTGCCTGTTACAAACATATGCACAAAGACATAATACCCTGTACCACAGAGTGGTGAAGGGTATAAATATTTGTTTTTAAAATCCTCGCCTAATAGTAGAAAAAGTATTTTTTAAAACATCCACGCCTAATGGTATGCATTGAAAAAAGTTATTAGAAAAGCACGCCTAAAAGTATACTTTGAAAATATTTTTTAAAAAATCCGCTCCTAAAAGTAGACCTTAAAAATATTTAAAAAAAATCTTCGCCTAATAGTAGACCATGAAAAATTATTTTTAAAACATCCGCGGCTAATGGTATATATTGGTGGAAAATATCAATACAAAATATACTCTCTCTAACTAATATATACTAGCTGCTTCAATGTTCTTACCCGATTCTTATAGACCATGCAACAGGCCCGCAGTGTAAAATAATAAATAATCTCCACACCCGACAGCAAAGAGAAACCCAAAAATAAACTGGCAATACCACCAAATGATACCAACAGATCAACCCAACCGAATAATACTTCACGTTTGTAACGGATAATGGGCCAGGTTAGAAATTCCACCAAGACCCCGGGGGCATCGGGACGTTCAATGCTGTAGATCACAAAAACAAAAAAACGAATTTAATATAACTCAAAATATATCCAAATTTATCACCCACTTTTTAATCAATTTCTCAATATTATAGACCGTTTTCGAACAGCTCAATTCGCATTGCATGCAATCCTTGATGTTCGTTATATTATTACGATATTCCGTTAGGCAATCCATATCGTTGAGGCCACACATTCTTACATTGACTTGGAAAGGACAAAAAATAAAAATTTTTAATTTTTGTAAAAAAGGGGAGAAATACCATAACTTACCGACCGGCTTATAGAACGGTGGCAAGCATTTACATAGCTTAATGGCCTTTTTCATACGGCACTCCTTCATGCACGACGAAAATGTGTACTCTTCGGGAAAATATGTCAGCTTGACTTCATCGTAAAAAATACATTTACGTTGCCTGGAAACAGAAATATGAGGGCAGAGAAATAATTAAGACTATTTGAATCGAATCGGACGAAATTATATATGTAGCTATATCTAAAACTGAATCAGATCTGACAAAACGTAATAGGCTCCTTCTAGGCTCAATCTGGTATGTTGTGTAAAATTTCGTCGTTATCGAACACCATTTAAGTCTTGGGTGAACCACTTACATCAAATCGATATGATCACTATATCTAAATCCAAACCGAACGAACATTATAGGCTCTATTTGTTATGCTATGCAACGTTTCGTCCTAATGTTACAAAATTTGGGTATTTGTTGGAGAATTTGTTTGAAATCCGACCAACATATATATAGGAGCTATATCTAAATCTGAACCGATTTAAACGGAACTTAATACATTTCATTTTAAATTCAAAGTGGTATTCTGTGTAAAATTTCGTTTCAATCGGACAAACGTTGGGTATTTGGCGCCACAATTCTCATATGTGAGCTGTATCTTAAACCGAACTGTGGGAGCTGTATCTAAATCTAAACCGATTTTCACGAAACTTAACACACATAATTCTAGATCTAATTCAGTACGCTATGCAAAATTTCGTGCAAATCGGAAGATACATAGGAACTTTGTTGCTCTATTGACATAAAATCGGTCGAAAATATATATGGGGGCTATATCAAAATCTGAACCGATTTTCAGTACGATGTGCTAAATTTCGTGCAAATCAAAAGATAAATAGATACTTTGGTGCACAATTTACCTTAAATCGGACGAAAATATATATGGGACCTATATCTAAATCTGAACCGATTTTCACGAAAATTAACACATAATTTGTCATTTCAATCGGACAAACTATGAGAATGTGGTGTACGATTTACATAAAATCGGACGAAAATATATGCGGTAGCTATATCTGGATCTGAACCGATTTTAAACTAAAATTAACACACGTCACTCCAGACTCAAATTGATACGATATGCTAAATATCGTCTTAATCGGACAAGCTTTTGGTGTTTCGTGTACGATTTACCTCATATCGGACGAAATTTTATATGGGAGCTATATCGAAATCTGAACCAATTTGAACAAAACTTTATACACGTAAGTCTAGATTCAATTGGGCACGCTGGGCAAAATTTCGTCCTAATAGGACAAACGTTGGGTAATTGGTGGACCATTTAAATAAAATCGGATGGAAATATATGGTTAGGTGGTTGAAAAGACACATGTCCAACATGAGAAGGACATACACTTAAGCCATATGAGGTCTGTTGTGCGCTATAGACGTGCGGAGAAAGTACAAATCAAGAATTAGTGAAAGTGTATATTAAAGAAAAAACACACACATTTGGGTTTGATTCCCTATGAATCTAGGAATTCCGTGTTTTTTGCGAACTCCTTCAGTCTTTTCCATTCACACCCCCTCAGATCGCTTAGTCCGTGAAGATTGTCATTTCCCAAGAATTGTCTCCGAAGGCATGTAAATGCTGGGCAATGGAATATGAAAAGTTCCAGCGTTTCACTGTCTTCCCCACACGCTCTGCACTCGTTACTTCCTTCGCATCCAATCTTGAGTAGCTGTGCCTTCAGGCCGAGGTGTCCCGTCAGAACACCCGCCCCGTCACTTGGGTCGTCCCATAAGATTTTGGTGATTTTTCCTGTCCCCTCATTATACCAAAGGGTTTTGTGGGTCTCATGTGTCTATTCCCTCATTTCTTGGCGTGTTTCGCTAAAGGGTTTTGCGGTATACACCTCTATTGTGGGTAGTGCAATGGCACTCCTTGTTAGTTGATTTGCTATCACGTTGCCTATGAATCCTTGGGGAACCGGTACCCATATAATTCGTACAGCTTTTTAGGGCGTCTAACACCATTGACTTGTCAATAATTGGTTCATCTGATCTTTCTTCCCTATCTGTCATGACATCGTTCAATGTCGATGTGTTCGATGGGAAGTGAGCATTGATTAGGAACCTTAGTGTTACCTCGATTGTTTCTATTCTATTACCCTCGCCGTCTACGATAGTTTCGGGTTGGGTGTGGGTCTTGGATAGAAATTTCTTGATTTTTGAAACGTCGTTGACGCTATCTACCTGTTCGCAGAATAGCTTCCAGGAGTTGCGTTTGGCGGTTCTTGTTAATTTATTGTATTCTTTCGTTTATCTGGAAGTTATCCAGAATACTGCGAATTTTTTTCGGTTCGCTCTGTTGTAAAGCCTTCGGACCTCTCTTATTTTGTTCCGAATCTCCCCTGTCATCCAGGGGTTTTCAAAGGCAGATCTCCTTTCTCGAAGAGGACAACTTTCTTCGAAAGACTTTACAATTACTTCCGTTAATTTGTTGATGTTCCTGTATATGTCATTCGTGTCTAGACATTCATAGTTTGGTTGCCCTAAACCCTCTTTTACTAGTCTCCCGAACTTTATCCAGTTAGTTTTGAACTTGTTACGGAAGTGTATGGGTTTCGGCGCTGGCCGTAGGATTTTGAACATAATATATTTGTGGTCAGAAAAGGAGTACTCTTTTGAGACTCTCCACTCCTGTAAATGTTACCACTCCCCTGTTTCAGTACAGTGGCGTCCGATGTTGACAACTCTGGGGAGAAGAGAAAGCATCAATTTTTTATGACATATT